CCCATTTTACTACAGAATCTAGATTTTTTTTGTACAACTTTGGTTCTATAACTCTTATTATACAGCGAAAAAAAGAATATGATTCATATTTGTGAAGATGTTTATGAAATAAAGTTTAAAGCTTTTTAGTAACTTTTCACTGCTTTGGTTAACCGGATCCGAGCTATTTATCCAACATTGTACCGTACCGGAATTAAAAGTGTACAATTCTTTTTGAAATTCAAACCGGACGGAGTACATTCGGTTTGTTTTTCGTTTTACATACATGTTTCCACGAACCGAAACAACTGGAAACACACAAATTCGTCCAAGAGAAAAGAGCAACTTGGAGAACATAAATGGTCCTGTGGTGGATATCTTTGCAATTTGCATTGGCCAATTCATAAGATAAGATTCATACAAGTAAAGAAAAAAAATGTCAATGTAATGGTGACTCTGCAGCTGAAGTTTTTCTTAGCTGATGTTGGCTTCGGTTTTTGGAACCACGTCCTTTTGCAATGTGGCCTCGGTGGTGAACGCTAGGGGAGGCTGCTCCCACAACTTTATTGGTGGATGTTCTTTTGCGCCTGTGGTGCAAAGAATCTCCACCACCAAACGCAGCTCTCGCTACACTATCTTTGAGAACTTCCCTGGCTCGTTGTGGCTTGATGAGCTGCTTGTTAAGATAAACTAGCTTAGGGAGAAGGCTGGAGACGGTCTTTCGTAGCTGGTCCTCGCCTACGTTACTCTGAATCGGGTTTCCGAGGATGTTCAAAGCGACAAGAGAGTTGTAGTTGGCAACAAGCTGGCCTATTGCTTTGGTGGTGGCGATCTTGTTGAAGCTAAGATCAAGAACGATAAGTTTCAGCAATCTGTGTAAGCCTTCTACATTGCTGATCTTGTTCCCAGCTAGGTATAGTTCTTTGATCAGTGTACAGTTTGATAAACCTGATCAATAGCTTTTGGTTAAGACAGGGAAACAAGCAAAGCATTATATGAATTCTGCTTAATGACTGCAATCTTACCTTGTCCAATGCGAGAAATTCGGTTGTAACTGAGATCGAGTACTCTTAGGCGTGTCAAATCTCTCAGTCCTTCGATAACACTGATCTTGTTCTTTGAAAGATTCAACGCGTGCAGGCCCTTTGGAAGCGATGCAGGAGTAATTTGAACTGCAGTGAACAGAACAATGTCTAGTAAGCAACACACACATGCTTTAAAAAACAGAACAATGTCTAGTATCCAAGAGTGTGAACCTATGAAGTTGTTTGAAAGATCAATCGACTTGAGGCTGGTAAAATGTGAGATGCACGGGATAGCTTTCAAGCCGATACTCGATATGTGAGCCACGCTTGAGGATTTGCTCATAGACTGAATAAGGCTATTTGCGTGCACTATAGCCTCTGTGACATTTCCGGATTGAACCACATTTCCAAAGGGTGATCTCTCTGTATTGGGAGAGGTTGGGAAGCTGGCCAAGACGTCTCTATCCTCGTTTATGGGTACTGCGGCGGTTTCAACATCGAGTCCTCTTACCCACTCGTCCACTCGCTTCATTGAAGATGATTCGGCAGAGAACGCTACCCACTGGTTATGACGAGGCCACAAGTTGGATGATTGGTTGGTGAAATCGGCGCAATTGTTTGTAGATTCTTCTTCATGGCTAGATTGGTTGTGCTCAGCAAAGTCAGAGGTGTATCCAGACTGATGGTGCTTGTTTAAAGGCTGTGACTTTAGCGAAACACGGTGTTTGTGAAGGTTCCTATGGCTCCAGAGGAACAATTTCCACCAGAGCCGCCGGCTACCCGAAGGAAGTATCTGCATCGACGAGTGTTTCTTGAGCATCACTCTATCTGCACTTTTATGGGACTTCACTGATTCATTACTAACTGGAACGGTCTCTCTCAGGTCATGGAGATCAGAACCATGAAACCGGCCATTGAACTTGCTGAGAGTGGAGCAAGATCGTTTAAGCTTAGGAGAAGTCACCCAAGACGTGGCTCTGCCTAATCCGGGATCGCTGACATGACCTCCTTCGTCGTCGTCATCATCGCCGTTTTCAGAAGTATCTGTGACTTCCTCCTTGCTTTTCAGAGATTCAACGGCTCGTTCATGAACTTGGAATTCAGGAAACTCACGGTTCGTTGAATCCTTGTCGTCACGTTCATCTTCGCCGTCATATGGCTCGTGCTTAATAGGACTGCCCTTGTCGTAGCCTGCGATGTTAGGCTCATCATTCTCCAGAGGCTTCACTGGCTCTTCAAGTCTGATCTGAAGGATTCTCTGCGTTTTCGGAGGCAGAGGTTTTGAATTCCCCTGTTTCAGTAAACAGAGAACGAGTTCAACGCAAAATCTGATTCGCCGGAATATTCACAAGAATAATTCCTAAATACTAAATAAGTTACCTTATTTTTCTTTCTACGGATCAATCCAGCAAAGCATGGAAATATCTTCATTTTGTGAACAGACTCAAAAATCCCGAAGAAATTTTTTAAATTAGCCGTAATCTATTGGAAGTTGGGAGAGCACCAAATCGATGAATTTAAAAGAAGAAATGACGCCGGAAAAAAAGGAAGCACTTCTTGATCCGACCACCGCCGAATCCGTTGATGTGTCGGCCAGAGTTAAAGATTGCCCTACTTGTTTTAAATTCTGTTTCACCAATACAAACGACCTCAGCCACTAAAACAGAGAAGAAGAAGAGAAAAAACAGAGGATAGAAGATGAGGAAGAATGAAATGGACGGGTTTATGACAGAACATGCAAAAGAGCCACATGTGACTTAAATCTAATGGTGTTTTCGTTTACTCTTAAAGACAGAGAAAAAGAGATGTGTGTACGTATTTTATTTATTTATTCTCCACTTTCAATTTTCAACCAAAATTTTACTAGAATAATATTATTCATTCCTTACATTTTCGAAAACTTTATTGTATTTCAGTCTATGTGTCTTTTATGCATTTAAGATTAAGGGGACTAGCTTAGTATGAATCCGCGGCTAATACACGGACTTTCTTATTTATATATTTCTTCCCTATTATAATGTTTTTTTTTTTTTGTTAATTATTCCCTATTATAATGTTTGAATAATAATCGCAATGCATTGAAGAAACATGATTAGTTGGTGGCAACAAAATCAATTAAATACACTAATAAGCAGAGAAATATGTGATGTTTCTGTATTAAATCCAAACTATCTATATATATATATAATATATATATATATTAGTATATATATATTGACATCAGATTAGTATTTTTCTAGTGTATTTTATAACAACATTTAAAGTAGTAATATATATTAATGTGCTCAAGTTTGAAAGATTTGAAATAAATTGTGATGGATTTTGAGTATAAACTTTTAGGTACTAAAATCCATAATATCATCTACATTATACGTTAGATTTTTAAAAACTCATACTGTTTGTTTTTGATATATGAAATTTATACGTATCCTAATAAATTATATGGAATAATAAATTCTGTAGCAATAATGAAATGTTTCCTTCTCTAAATAAATAGTTCAAAAGAAAAGACAAAACAAATGAAGAGAGTAGTAGAGAAATAAGAGAAGGTAATGTAAGCATCAGGTCCGGTTTGTTGCGTCCGGTAGCCGCAAGTAACGACGTCCATCAAACTCTCTCCTGCTTTGTAGTCCACCCAGTCTCACATGGACTCTAATGTCTCCACTCAATCCTGGCCGTCAATGTCAGATATCTACGGGTCCCACCTTCATAGAAGCAGCTGTTTTTGAGCTTATAGATGACGTGGCTATATCTCATTGGTAGCTGACTATATCTCACCTCAAATCATTTAGAACACAAAATAAAACAACTCACACATGACATGACAGCATTATTGCAATTTGCAAAGAATATAATTCCTTTTGAAGATTATACTATATGGTTATGTTATGCAGTATACGCTAATATTATCATACTGTTTTTTAAATAGTGTTCGATGATTTTTCAATTTTTGAAAATGATAAAGAAAATCAGGTTCCAATTAAAATACATACTACATTATCGTACGAGGACATGATAATCAGATTTACATAAAATATACTTAATTTAAAAACTGTTGGTGTTTTTTTCCTTAGTTACGGAAAATGATATTCATTTTTGTTTCTATAGAAAAAAATCACGAAACTTGGCACACATCGTTAATCACACAATCTCTACAAACTTATTAATTTCAAAACAAATACAAACGGTTATAAGAAAATATACAAAAAGTGGACGTAAGCGATATGAAAGTTAAAAACCATGTTGTCCTTGTTTTTAAATATACGTGTCGTTACAAGTTACGTTAACAACTAAAGAAAATACCTACTAATATATATATATATTTTTTTCTGTAGGGCTTTACCCCGAAGAGAGCCCTTTCAGAAATTCTCGAAGGCCCAAGACAAGCTTAGGCCCAGGAGAAGGTTTGGAAATAGAAAATACCTACTAATATTTTGTTATGTTATCTCCACAAATAAATCTTATTAGATTTAATTTCGGAGAAATGGCTCATTAGACTAAACAATACTAAAAGAATGGGTCCAACCTCAAGATAGTACGGACGACTTGCCTCATCGATTATTTTGAACAGAATAAAATATCAACACTTATAGATAATAGCTTATACATTAAGATAATTTCTACATACAAAGAAAGCAAATGAAAAAAATCCTCGTATAGTTGCATATATAATCAGAATTGACACAAAGTTGCTCGAGTAGCAAATAGAGCGACTAAACAATCGTATTGGTTGTTATTATATATCTGGGTTCTAATTTTAGGCTTTAAAAAGGCCCATACTATCGTGCAAGTATATATGGACTTCTCCATACTATCTTCGGGTATAAATGGTTGATCCAAATAAAAAAAATTGAAAGAGTTGAATAAACATTTATCTTATTTTTATCATTTGTAATGAAAGAATTGAAAAAATGATTCAACTTATTTAACTTTAAAAACTGAAAAATTGAACAAATTATACTGCAAAAGTGTTCAACTCATTCAACTACATTTTTGCAGAGGAACATGTTGAATGATATTCAACTCAATTTTTTCCAACTTAATATTTTTCAACTATTCATTTTTACGGAATTAATATATTTTTCTAAATATTTCAGTTTACATTTATGAAAACAAAATATCTAGGTATATTCAATTTACAAAAATATGTAGATTTATTAGATTTAAATATACCTCTCTCTATATCTTTATTAGTTTTTCCTTTACTATATAACAAACTAGATATTTTTGTCAATCCTTTATTACAAACTTGGTAGTAATCTTATTTATTTGATTTTTCCTAATACATTTTTTTATCATCTAATAAACGAGATCTGCGTCGACACATAATTGGATTCAACAATCCATATTAATTTTATCACTACGTATATATTACATTTCTATCAACATTGAGCATCCCTTAAATCACATAAGAAACAAAGACAGAGAGAAATTGGAGATCAAAGTTATGGAGAATGAGAGAGAAAATCTTATTTACTTGGCTAAGCTCGCCTGCCTAGCTGGAAGATATGATGGTATTCGTATTCTCACATATTTGCAAATTTCAAAAACAGATAGTTGATTTTGGTTTAAACATACTATCTTGGGAGTTCTTTAGGAAGTTGATTATCATATTGGTTTTTTTTTTTCATGTTGTCATCGATCAATCAAAGGTTGTAGAGTTTGTTTCAAAAAAACAAACTTATGGTTACTCGGATCATAAAATTACAAACGAAGTTAGCTCTCTTACAAACAAATTTATCTCTCTTAGCAATGCATAGAATTACTCTTGTGTACGAAGAAATCATTGTTGCTACTTTATCCATCTTTCTATAACCTCATAAGGAGTAATTAAACGGCTAATTATTGAATCTTTTTCAATTGATATTGTTGTGGCAGATATGATGAAATCGATGAGAAAAGTATGTGAGCATGATATAGAGCTAAGTGAAGAGGAAAGAGACCTACTAACAACTGGGTACAAGAATGTCATGGAGACTAAGAGAGCTTCATTGAGAGTAATATCATCTATTGAAAAATTGGAAGACTCGAAAGGAAACGACCAAAATGTTAAATTGATAAAAGGACAACAAGAAATGGTTAAATATGAGTTTTTCGATGTTTGTAATGACATTTTGTCTCTCATTGATTCTCATCTCCAGGGCCGGCCCGCAGGACAGGCCACCCAAGCGGTGGCTTGGGGCACCACAATTTTTTTTTATTTTTTTTAAGGTTTTTTTTATTTTTTTGGTAAAAAGACCCATAAAATGAAAATATTTGGTAGAAACTAAAGTCTTTTTCGAAAAAAATAAATAAAATAGGGCCCAAACAATTAAATTTGAATGTAATAATATTCAAAATATCATTATTTTTGTATAATTTACTAAAAATAGGTCCAAAAAAAAATTTAGCCCTAAAACTTATAAATATATTGGGCCTCATTTTATTTTTCGTGTAGGGCCTCACAAATGCTCGGACCGGCACTGCTCATCTCATACCATCAACTACTAATGTCGAATCAACTGTCTTTTTTATCAGAATGTAAGTCATATTCCGTTATCATCATCATGATCATCTTTTTTTTTTTTTTTTTTTTCTTTCTTAAAAATCTTTTTGTTATATTGTTTCTTGGTATATGTAGGAAAGGAGATTATTTTCGATATATGGCAGAGTTTGGTTCTGATGCTGAACGTAAAGAAAATGCGGATAGTTCTCTGGAAGCATATAAGGTCCTCTTTCAATCATGCTTTTCCCTCAACTTTAATATTTTATTTTGGTATATTTTCTTCCATATATTAGTTTGGAAAAAACATGGAAAAGACATGAAAAAAAAAACATGAAAAAGGCATATACTTTGTAGGTTGCAATGGAAATGGCAGAGAATAGTTTAGCACCCACCAATATGGTTAGACTTGGATTGGCTTTAAACTTCTCGATATTCAATTATGAGATCCTTAAATCTATTGAAAGGTAATATCACATTTGCTTAAAAATAAAATAAGTGCGGTGTTTGAATCTATCATAAAATATGCATATATAACTATTTATATTTTCATTGCCAATTAATTTTAAACGAATAATTTTTACAAGTTTTTTTAGTATCTTTTTTTTTACAGTTAATTAGCTAATAGTAATTATTATGTGAATTTATACAGCGCATGCAAATTGGTCAAGAAAGCTTACGATGAAGCAATCGCTGAACTCGATGGCCTTGACAAGAAAAAATGTGAAGAGAGCATATACATCATAGAGATGCTTAAATACAATCTTTCTGCATGGACTTTAGGCGATGGTAATGGTAATATACGTTTAGTTCGCAGTGAAAGGTTCTTAAACTTTTTCTTTCATGACCTATTTTTTATACTAATTAAAATTGTAATTTTGCAGAACTGGATCTTGAAATCCCGAAAAACAAGACAGACGATTAGAACATGTCTTTTGAGACGATGAAGATAAATCATTGGTCGTGCTGATAAGGTTTGATTGTTTACAGAACTCAATTAGTCTTCTTGTTGACTACTAGCTAGAAACGCAAATATATACTACTGTAGTACTATGTATTTAAACACTCGGCTTTGTGCTTTGGTTTGAGTTGGGTCACAATGTGTGAATGATAGATTGTTAAATTTGTTTTTATATAATTTCTAATAAACATTGTTGAACAACTAATGCATTGGCTATTATTAACCAAGTAAGAAGTAGACAATAAAATCGTACGATAAAATAATATCGAAACTAATATGACTATATGAGTTACGGTACACATACACATGGTAGAATCAATTCCTAGTTTTTTTGGGAAGTTTACTTTCGTAATGAAAATATATGGGAAAAGTTATATTGATTGATTCTGCATGATAAACCTGAACGAAAAAAAAAAAAATTCGTTGTGAATAATTAAATTGTTCATCTATCAAAGAAGTATGAGTGGAGCAAAATTATTCATCTATCATTTTCATTCCTTTCATTTCCAATTTATTCATAAAGTTATTCCCCACAATTGTGATCGGCACTAATTAGTTATAGAACTTTGTAAAAACAAAAAAAAAAATAAAAATAAAAAATAAAACTTTGTAAAAACATAGCATAACAATATATACTAGGATTTAACCCGCGGTACACCGCGGGACTATATTTTCTTAAAAAAATCAAAATGTAATTTGTTTGATAGATTATTTTGATTGTTAATTTTAGGATTTCACCCGTGGTATACAATCTTTTATAAATATCAACCCAAACCCGTCCCATCATATTACCCGTCCCGTGAAATTAAACATTATTTAGTTATTTTTCTTTTTAATAATACTTTTATTTAAAAGCTATATAATTCAGGTCAATTTAAAAATTTCTTTTAAATGGTTCCCATAAGATATATATACATATATATTAAATTTGTATAGAGTTGAAATAATATTAATATTACAAATTTTTTATATAATTTAAATATTATAAATATTTTTAAAAATATGTAATATATATTTTTTGTTATTGAATAAGAGGATATTATGTGTAAGAAATGTAGAAAATAAGAGTTTAATATTTTTATTATGGAGTCGCAAAAAAAATCTTTTATTTCTATACATGTTATTCATTTATTAATAATAAAAGAAAACAAATCCTTTAAATTAGATATTAACTAAAATAAACGCACCATAATTACTTATTAAGTAACAAGTAACAACCAATAAATTTCACCAAAAAATAGGTAACAACCAATAAATTCTAAACGCAGTAATTAAAGAATGAGATATTAAAAAAAAAATATCAAATAAGATATAAGAATCTTAAAATAATTGAACATCTAAATAATTTAATTGTTAGTGTCGATTTTAATGCCTTCATTAATGTGAATTTTTTTTTTTTACAGAGAAATATTTTCTAAAGATTATCACATTAATGACTCAGAAAATTAAGGAAGATATGAATTTATGATTCTCGAAATCGTATTGGTAATATCTTTAATTAATATTTTTCAAATTTAAATAATTAATGCCAATGGCATTCATCCGTAAATAAGGTCCAACTCCAGGATTTATTTGCTAAAAGTCATTCAAAAATGTATATATAGATATATATATATATATATATATATATATATATATATATATATAGCATCATTTATACAGAGTATAAGTAGATATGAAGCCACGTCACTAATAACTTGATACATGCAAATTACATCTAAAATACTATAGTAATAAGTAAGCTATACCAACATATCTACCAATTTGTCTTCAATTGATGGTCCTCGTAACCTGTCCTTAACTCATTAAAATTTGGTCAGCCATTGATGTACATATAACAATACGCTTAAACTGAGGAATTGAACGTTTTTTTTGTCTCAAGTTTTTCCAAATAATATTCAAATAATTATGTGAAAAAATGTTTTTTTTTGTCTTCTTCTAGAGTATTGGCAGATAATTCAAGACTCTTCAGGACAAAGAAAAAGACTCTTTTAACCGAAATTGACAAAGTTTTCTAGTTTCTTCTGTCTTTCGCAAGTCATCTATATAATTTTGGGTCTTCAACATCTTGGTCTCATTCTAATGGGAACCCATTCTAAGAGCAAGCCCAATGGACAGTCCTAAAGGAATTCTAGGTGAGAATCCTTATAAAAAATGCCCAAAAATAAATCAAAAATATGATTATTGGTAAGGTGCGTTCCTTACTTTAGAGTTTTTTTGTGATTTTTAGAGACGCTTACGTGGCATGTTTTGATCCGTTTGGCAAACAGAGAAAACAAAAAAAAAACAATCTTTTCCAACTTCATTTCGCGATCTCTCTCTCTTCTCTACTCTTCTCTTCTCTTGTAATCTCTGAAAGACGAAGAACAAATCAGAAGAGAAAAGCCGGCTTCATGATCATCAAATCATCATCAAATCAAGCCACAATCGCTTTCTGAAGGTATAATTCTATGTGTTTGATTGTGTATATCGTGATGAATTAGGATTATTTTAGATTATATCGAAATTAGGGTTTGTTGAATTGGGAATTGATGAATTTGGTCACAGACAAATTCTTAGAGAAATTAAAGAAAAGAAAAGAAACACCATAACTCTTAAAGTTTCGAGCTTTTTTCTTCTTCTTCTTCTTCTTTGACACTCCAATTGAGAGATTTCATTAACAAATCCAAAGCTACTGTTTTTGTTTTCTTTCGGGAAAAAAGTTTAGATTTTTTCTTTGCTTGTGCTCTCATCGTAATCAATAGAGGTCAACACTGAAACCATGCAAAAGTCAAAGTTTGGAAGAATCTGTGTGTTCTGTGGAGGCAGTCAAGGGAAGAAGAGTAGTTACCAAGATGCTGCTGTGGATCTAGGCAACAAATTGGTATTATTACATACACCTCTGGATTTTGCTCTTTGTAGTTATTAGTTTATTACTCTGTTTCTTGAGTTATTACAGTTTTATGTTCACCAGATGTTTGTGAATATGTTTGTGAGTGTTTTTTTTTTTGCAAATGCAGAGTATTTCCTCTGTTTTCTACTTTGAAAACGCTCTTAAATATTGCAAGTGAAATACCCATGCAAGTGAAATAACTATAGATGCCTTCTTGACCCATCGACATGCTTAAGTATATGTTACAATGGCTTAAGTATGTTATTGGTGCTTATCTTTCTGGAGTTAAATACCCTTTGGTCTCTTAATTGGTCTGTTTCTTATTCAATGACAGGTAGAATGGTGTAAACCAATTTTTTTTTTGGGTCTTTGAGAGGAAAGGCTGAGACTAACACTTGTCAAGAAAGGCTGAAGCTGGAGGGATGACTTAAGTATGTTGTCCTTTTTCTTGAGTTTATTTCTTACCTCTAGAAAGAATACATTTTTGAATCTTTCTCTGTTATGAAACAACAAGTTCTCATAGCTTTGATGCTAATATTTGTTATAATCTGCTCTCTTCTACTATACAGGGAAACTACTTCAAACTTCATTGTAATTAAAGAGTTTTTCATTTAAAATTTTTTATTTTTTTTTAAGAAATCTACACAAGGACTCTACCATTGGACACAAATTTTTTTAAGAATTCATCAAAAACTCTTAACTTTAAAATTGTCATAATTTATGATTAAAATATGTTTAAGAATCCTTTGAAGGATTCAACCATTGATGTTGCTCTAATACTTTTCTTTTTTAAAAAAAACTTGAAAATTATGTCAGATACTCGAATTTAATTTCCCAACCTACGCACTGTCACAACCTTATGTTCACATTAAAGACTAACCACGTGCCTTATCGATTTCAGATACAAATATTTTTGTAACATTGGTGCCATCTACTTTTTTTTTATCACAAATAAATAACATTTGATTGTACCGCCAAATAAATTAAAGACCATACATTAGGTCACATAACATATTCAAATTCGTTTTTTCCCAATATATCGAAAATACTCAATAATCAAGGGTGTAGTAAAAAAATCATATTTCTCTTACTAATAATAATATGTACATATGCAAATGCAATGCAATCTTTTGAAATACAAATAGATATATGAATATAACAAAGTTATTAAAAAAAAAACAATTTACGAGGAACGATAAAAACGTTTCCTTTTTCTTTTCTCTTTACACAAAAAAGAAATTCGTAAATTATTTATTTATTTACATGTGATGCGACTCTCCACTGTTACAACTTATAACCACATTTCAATTTAGTCTCTTTCAATTTATTAATATTAATAATAAAATGTGCTCATTCGTAATAAATCCCCCAACCAATACAACATACCAGAGAACCAAACACAATACACCACAATATCTTTCAACTCAAAAATCTTTTTCTTTTCTTTTGTATCCTCACTCACATTTTTATTCTTTTGTAATGACAGGTTTCTTTAGCTTGTCTCAAGCAATAGAACGAACTTACAAATCCGGTTTTAAAAGATCCGGTCTACGACCCGTAACCATCGATTTGAAAGATGGAACCGTAGTCAACTTTTGGGTATCCAAAACCCAACCCGAGACCAAACCCAAACCCAATCTCCTCCTCATCCACGGCCTCGGAGCTACTGCCATCTGGCAATGGTACGACGTAGCTAGACGTCTCTCTCGTCATTTCAACCTCTACATCCCCGACCTCGTCTTCTTCGGCGGATCCTCCACGACCCGACCCGAAAGATCCGATATCTTTCAGGCCCAAACACTCATGCGGGCCTTAGAAGCCCAATCCGTGAAAAAATTCAGTCTCGTCGGTCTTAGCTACGGCGGATTCGTGGGTTATCGGATGGCGGCGATGTACGCAGACGCCGTGGAGAGAGTTGTGATATGCTGCGCCGCCGTGTGCGTGGAAGAGAAAGATATGAAAGCTGGCGTTTTCAAGGTGTCGGATCTTGATGAAGCTTCAAAGATTCTTGTGCCGGAATCTGTGAAAAAGCTTAGGGAACTTATGGGTTACATCTTTTACAAGCCGGCGTTGGCGAGACTGGTTCCTACTTGTCTTCTCCATGATTTCATTGAACATGTGAGCTACTTTCTTCTTTTTACTTCTTCAACCAAATCATATTACGACACGTGTCTATTTGTCTTAAGAAGAACATATACGAATACGAAAAAGCGAAAAGAAGAAAAAGTTATTTAAATGATGGAAATCTAGTAAGTGCGAATATAGTTTAGAAATAGTAAGATTTGAACTTTTAAAGATTCTAATATCTGTTGAAGATAATGTACTTATATTGTCAACTTGTAATTCAAAAGAAAAATTTTCTTTTGTTTTTGAAGAATTTTACAAATTTCGATTTTTTAATTATTAGATGGGTTCGATCATCAACATAATCATTTTTAAATAAATTTATTTGGTAGATCTTTGTTGAATACTATGAAACGGTAAAAAAAGAGTAAACTTTATAAATTCGTACCAATAAAAGTTGTTTTGTTTTTCTTTATAATATTGAAGTAAATATTCTTACTTGGTGAAAAAAAGCTAAACAATGTGAAACGAAACAGGCTTTGACAAGAGATAATATGGAAGAGAAGAGAGAACTGATCAAAGCCATACCAAAAGACAGAATAATCTCAGAGATTCCAAAGCTCACACAGGTTCGATTTTCTTCCTCCCAAGTTTTGTCATAAATCTTCATTCTTATAAATGTAATTAAAGAGGTATATAATTTTAATTAATGCAGCCAACGTTGATAATATGGGGAGAGCATGATCAAGTGTTCCCATTGGAGATGGGCAAGAGACTGGAGAAACATATAGGCGATAATGGGAGACTCGTTATTATCAAGAGAACTGGTCATATCTTTAACTTCGAGAGACCCAAAACGTTTCTTAAACTTCTCAAATCTTTTCTTTTGGAGACTAAACCACAGTTTCCTATCTCTAATGGAAGTGTTTGATGAATATTACTAGTCTCTAGTTTTGATTTTCTTCTCAATTTCTTATGTATCCTTGAAACTTTATGAAGATATATATATATCACTTCGCGTTTCCAGTTGTCTAATTATTTATATATGTCCGACTTTTCTGAAATTAATTCCGTTGTCCATAATCAAAAACTTTGAATCTTTAGGTGCTTATCAAAAGAAATTAGCAAAATTAGCGAGAGGAATAAAATCATCGTGAGGCTTACTATCTGAAAACAAAGTCTTATTTTCTGGACGAATAATTTGATAATACGGATAATATGGGAGACAAATAATTTGGTTTAAACATAAAGGTTTTTTAAACATCGGTTTAGTGGGTAATCAAGAACTGTGATGAGCATAAACATAGAGATGCTTTGAAAATTGTCGTGAGCATAAAAACCATTGTATACTCATCACAGTTCTCAAATGACCACGTAACCGCAGTTTAAGTCATTTTATTCAGTCGTTCGTCACCATCTTATATTTTTCATGAAAATTTCAGAGCAAAACTTTTTATTATAGAAGGAGAGATTATGTACCAAAGAGAGGGATAATCAGCAAAGAAGGAAGAAACAACTCTGCAAAATTATAAAAATCCCTCTCATAATGGCGAATTGATATGTGCCTCCAGAACAAAGCTAACAAGTATAGATCTTGCTGCTGAAAGAAGAGGCATCTTTATCTTTATCAAAAAATCAACCCATAAACCAAAAAAAACAAAAACCACTAATTGCTTAATCTAACTTCAACGATATAAAACAAATGAAAGATAACAAATCGGCTTTGAGATCCATCAAGAATACGATTTTGCAAATTGATAAGAGCATTAGCATATATAGTGGCCGCCTCCAGTTTCCTGCTTCAGAAACCCTAATTTCCCCTTTAGGTCTACCGTTTTATGGGCCGATATGTGCCTTGTCATTAAAGCCCAGTAAGTAAGCCTGGCTGATATGAATTCATCTATTCTGAATGATTGTTTGTTTATTTTCTGTTAACATAGATTAATTATCCATGATTCCAAGAACAAACTACATCATTTATTCTTTTCATGTAAATTTTATGATATAACTCATCTGGTTTGTCAAACTAGTATAATATAATAATATTCCTATTAAACTCCTGTTCTTGAAAATGCACAAGTAACCAAGAACCAGATCGAACTAAACCGGACCCCAAAATAATCTTGGTGAAGCAAAAGCAAGCTCCAAATCCAATATAAGCTGCGTCTTCTTGGTTATCATCTAAACCGGACAACAATGCAAGATATGTCATCCTTACTGTTTCTTTTCAATGCTTCAGCCACTACTTGCCTCGCTGCTTCCTTTGGATCTTTCAACTTCTTAGCTATGTCAACTGCTTCTTGGTTTGACATCACCTGTTCAATAAGTTTCAACAAAATGATTCCCATTGATCACTTCCATATGTAAAAATCCAGACTAACTAGTAATCTTTAACCCCAATTTCACCTTCGAAATACCGTCACTAGCCAGAATAAGAAAATCAGTGTGACTATCAATGGTGACATCCTTAATGTAAGGCTCTGAGTTCAAATATGCTTTGAGGTTTTTGTCACCAAAGACGCGAGAGACAGCTAACAAACCGTTCACGCGAGGAACATCACCTGTTCAATTCACAAACATCAGGATCATCCTTATATATATAATGATAGATCAATAAAAGGGATGTTCTTAACCTGGTCTGTTGGTTACAAATCCACCTTTACTCTCAATCATACTCCTCTCAGTATCATCATCAGGATCATGATCTACACTCATCTGTTTTGCTTTACCTCGACTAGAAACAATAGCACGCGAATCGCCAACATTAGCTACCCACAAAACTTTCCCATTGATCAAAATCGCAGTCACCGCAGTCGAACCGCCACTCTCTAAGTCCGTTCTATTATCTGCTAAAATCTTTTGGTCTGTATTCTCATAAGCTTTCGCAATTGCTCTTCGAGGATCAACCAAAAACTCTCCCTAGAAGAAAAAATCAACACAATATACTTATCTATCACACTAATCACAACATATACAAAAAGCAACAATCTTTATACAACTTACATCTTTGAGGATATTAGAGAAGAGATGGTTCTGCAAATAAGCAGCTACATTATCACCTTTATGACCATCAAAGATTGCAAAAAGCCCCAATTCATTGCCATTGAAATTCATAAACTTAGCAACATGATAATCCTCCATTGAATGGTCAGATTTCCCCTTTATCAAACTATATCCATACTTGATTCTTCCTTCACTATTTCTTCCTTTACCCGAGTTTGATTTTTGTGCTACCACAACCTAAACACATTAACAAAAATCACCAAAAAAAATCCAGAAAAACTCTGATAAAATGAAAAAAGTTTGGATTTTTACTTGTGTAGCGGAACGAGAACAGCAGATCTTGGGCATTTGGATTCTGAATTAAATCTGCGATATTTACGAATTTGAGTTTAGAAAATGGAAGCAAGAGACGAAATTGAAGAGAGAAATGAGAGAAGTAAAACCCTAAGTTTTGGTTCGATTTCCGCAAATGATAAAATTTGACGACGAAGCTTTGGCTCTCCTTCGTTAATGTCGTTTTCATGAGAGAAATTTATATCCACTGAAATTAAAATTAAAAATTCTGGTATGGTTTTCATGAATTAGTTTTTTAATTCACACCAAATCTAACGTTATTAACTACAAGATCATTTTACAAAAGAGATTTAGCCTAATAAATCAATAAATTTTTTGGAATTATTGGTCTAAAGTAAATCAACTTCTAACTTGGACCCAACAAATTTGTAAAAATAAGAATTACGTTATTCTTAAAAGGAATGCAAATATATATGGCCCATTTTTTTAATAATAATTTTCTTTTTTCTGTTATACTTACACAAATTTTATTATTTTTGGTTACGCTTGTAAAAAAAAAAAATTGTGTGGGCCCCTTTTATTTGTGGGCTCCTGGTGATTGCCCAGCTCGCCACCCATGTTAAGCCGGCACTGATTATAGTATAATCGTGTACATATTAGGTTAATGTAAAAATAATTTTTTTGACTAATGACATGCTTTTGATTTATTGGATGTTTAATATGATTATGTGGACACCTTAAAAGTAAAGAAAACTCTTCCCATTATATATAAAGATTTTGCATGCTTTTACTTTGGTAACTGCTTAAACACAAATGCATACAATTAATTTTTGGTAATATAATAACATCTTTGTTCAACTAAAAAATTTGGAAAGCAAAGGTAATTGTTTTCTTTGTGATATGGTTTTACATAATCTGCTTTATATATTTATTTATAAGTATACAAATACTACCATCTAGTAATAAATTATTACTATATTGTATATGAAATTATAATGAAAAATTTAATTGATAAATTGATATACGTACACAACCATGAAATTTTCCAAATATTTAAACTTTATTACATTTTCCAATTGTTTATCATTTCAATTATTTTTTCTTAACGATATAGTCAACGGTTGACTGTCAACCATGATAGACTTGGAGACTTTACTGATCTTCTTGTATCTAGTTATGGGCCTTTCATGGAAAAAGCCCATTTACAATACTAAATTATCAACCGTTGACAGTCCATTAGGGTACTACCGTCTTGTACTACCGATACATAGAAAGCTTGCAAGTCCATTAGGGTACTACCGTCTCGTCTTCCTTGCGCGACTCTTGCTCGTTGCAGAGAGAAGGAGAAAAGATGAGGTTGATAGTGCACAACATGTTATCTTGCAACATTAAAGGAGTGGTTAACAAGTTTCCTCTGCGTATCGAACCCGAGAAGATAATCGTAAAAAAGGTCGATTTCAACCCGGATTTTCTCAAGCACATGTTTGCCAAAATCGATTGGAAAGCTCTAGTGTACGGTGCACGTTCTATGGAACACACCGAACTTCCCGATAACGCACCCGACATAAAGACGCTGGAATCTGACGAATCATTCCTCAGGAAATTCCACCACGCGTTGCTCGAGCTTCATCTTGAGGAAGGCTCACTCGTCTGCCCAGAAACCGGTAGGAAGTTTCCCGTTAACAAAGGAATCCCCAATATGCTTCTCCACGAGGACGAGGTTTAAATTAAGCATAGTGTTATAGATTGATTCATCTTTCCATGCATTGTGTAATGGATGAGTTCTTTATGTGTTAGTACTCTTCCAAAATCTTAATCTTGAAAACTTGTCATTCTACTTTAAGCACTATCTTCATACACTCGTAGACAAAGTAACTTATTGAAGCCGAAGGCAATACCTGGAGATATGTAAACAATATCAAGCTTTTGGAAACAATAGACACAGGTTATGTTTAGTAATAGAACAAGTATTGTGCAAACCTGGAGCAAGCTAGGTAAAAGTCCAGCGTATAAAGCTGGGAGGCCTCCTCTCTCAATGATATTGAATCCCATAGCTAAAGCATTGAGCTTGTTTTTACCCATCTGCATCTGAAGCTGTCGTCTCACTACTTCAAAAGGATAAGTGGCCACTTCAGTACAAGCACCTGCGATAGCACCGTACATGAGAGTTCTGCTGGGTCCTAACTCGAGCCGGTCTAGAGCATTGAATTCATGTCCCTGCTGCTTCATGTCTATCAGTCTTTTCCGGCCTTCTGGTGTATGCAGATAGGATGATTTAAGGATGTCGTAAACGCCATAGAAAACTGCACCCGACAAAGCCATGCTTGCTATGGACGGAACTAGACCCTTGTAGAGGGACAACAACCCTTCGGTTTGGATCATATACCGAAAAGCTCCTGCGATTCCACCCAAGGCTTCTCCACCCCGAGCCACTAGTTTGGTTCGTATCTGTGACAGTATAAGAACACATCAAAATGGTTCCACATGTTCATCGTCCTCTCGAAAACTAACACTCGACTTTGATCTAAAATGGTTTAAGGAGTCAAAAACCTACAGTGTCGAGTGGCAAGCAGAGCACAGTAGCAGTAATCCCAGCAGCAGCTCCAGCAACGAATCTTTCAAAGTTGGTTGCTTCTTGATTCCCAGCGAGTTTAAGCAATTGCTTTCTATAGGTATCGTAGGCACAAAAATTGACGGCTTTGAAAGGAGCAGTTCGGAGAACATTGAGCAAATTACCTTTCCAGAATCCAGTCAAGCCCTGTGTAGTGGCAATTGACTTAGCGACCACCAACAAGTTCCTCTGTTCACCACGAACTGTATATTCAAGCTTTAGTCTCTCAAGTGGAGCTAAGAATGTTCTGCCATCATCAACAACAACAACAAAAAAAAGTGTAATATTAATGCCAATACAAGTTTGCCCAAAAAACAAATGCCAATACTGAAATCAAAGTCACAATCATGGTTTTGGTTGAGGCATTTTATCAAACAGCTTATATGCGTTCTAATTCAACAATATATACTTTGAAACCATGGCAGCTACAGCACCAGCCCAGAGATGCTTCCTTGTGTTCATGGTTCCGCGTCTCCTCCCTCCACCGATAACACTTCGTTTTCCATTATCCTTGCCGGGAATTTTGCCGTTTTGCGCCAAAGCATTCTTACATTGCTGCTCGGATCTGTCTTTACTCAAGCTCACGGACAGAAACATCAAGGTCTTACTTGAGCGAAGACGAGTTTTGTTTCTCCAGTAACCGGGAAAATGCACAGGTTCGAAGTCGGAGCATTTGGAGGAGATCGAGTCGAAGAAGGAAGAGGAATTGCCTGGTGGTTCGAGAAACAAACCACCGGTGCTGAAGAAAGCTTCATTGGAGAGATCGATAGAGCTTGAAGAAGAAGCAGGATCGTGAGGATAGATATCGAGTCCTGACATTTGGATAATGAAAGGAGAAAATTTGATTCGAATTTGTAGAGAAAAGCTTATTTGGGAATTGGCCAAAATTGAGTGGTTGGACCGGTGGAACCGTTTTTGGGCTTTTATAATTTAATTTTTATGGCTCCAAAACTAAATAAAGGTAAAGAAAGCATGAAATTATTAATTCTGAAAAGGAAAATGCTGAGGAATTTTTTATTTTTATTTATTTTTGTCATCAACCAAAGTAACTGGCTCTGTGATTTTGGTTCTGATTTCAAGTGGAGAAGGTTATCAGATAACTATGATTAAGAACTTTGCACACAAAAAAAAGAACTATGATTAAGAACTTTCAGATTGGTCAAAGCTGAATTGTTGACCATTCAGAAGGATCATACTTTTCAGGTATAGTAATCTCCACATAGACCTGATATCTTTCAACGTCACCGAGCATGAATAAGCTTATACATTTGTTAGAAGGAGTTTTATAAGTTTTGTACTTAATTATAGGTTTAGTAGCAGAAGATGCAGATATCTGAATCAAAGTCCCATTTCTTTGACTTACCAGAATTCTAACTAGCTAATAAGGTGATAAAGCTGCTTGTTCTCAGAACATGAAAAGAAGGGAGTTAAATCACAAAGCCAATCACGATGAGAAAACTGAAGCAAAGCTCAGAATTAGGCTGAAACTGAACACTCCAATTTGATGGTTCGATAGGAGTATGAAGCCTCTGATAACAAGAGTCAGGAATGAGCATGATGTTACAAGAAGATGATTGCAATAAGAATGAGATCTCCAGAGGTCAAAGCCAAGCATGATGAGGAACTGAGAAAAGCTCAGATTCAGGCTGCTCTGAGTTTGAAAGAATACTCAGGACTCAGGAATGAGCATTATGTTCAGTTGAAAGCATTCAAGGAAGATGACTGCAAGAAGAACAAGATCTCCAGAGCTCAAATAGTAAGCCTCTGCTAATAGGAAGTTTATCATGGAGCAGGTTTTAACTAGCAAATAAGCTGATAAAGCTGAATACTCACTAAAAATAAGGAGTTCAATCACAAAGCCAAGCACGATGAGGAACTAACAAAAAGTTAAGAATCATGCTGAAACCGAACACTCCAATTTGATCGTTCCATAGGAATATGAAGCCTCTGCTAAGAACACTCAGGAATGAGCATGATGTTTTCGTTGAAAGCATTCAAGAACTCTAGATCTCCAGAGCTCAAACAGTAAGGTTAATTCATTAGAAGATGCAAACGTTACAGGTTCAAAACTAATGACTGACTGACTTATTCAATTATCCGATTCTTGTACTGATAATCCCTACGAATTAGACTGACCACTGAGTATAATCTAGCACACAAAATCTCGACTCCTAGAATTATTTCCTTACTCTAATAACCACAATGTTGCATAAGCTGATGATTCCAAGGGAAGGATCAAGCAGATCCAAGGAAGAAGACGAGGAAGAAAGTGGAAAGCAACAGTACCAAAACGACGAGAAGAAGCAGTTCCATCAATCCGCAAAGCTTAATCCGATTCATCTTTTTCTTCTCCATGGTAAGCTTTCTCTTCAGATCCTCTATTTCTCTGCGCGTTTCTCCTTTCTCCTGCTTCTAAACCAAAACACCAGAGATGAGATTTCGTAATTACGGATCGATTGTAGCAAAATCGATTCCAATCGGAAGAAGAAGGGATCTAACTAACCTCGCCGGCGGTATCGATTGTGCGGGACGATGTCAGCGAATAGAGAAGCATCGTAGCTCTAGCACAGCGAATCGCAGCTCGATCTCGGGAAAATTCGTCTTTGCTTGTCATCTTCTTCCTTCGTCTGATCGTCTCTCTGACTATTAGTCTCTTTGCTTCATCGACACATTACAAGTTTCGAAAACGATCTGTTTGTGTAAGCTTCTTATATATTGATGTTTCATATCCTTGCTTAGGAAGTGTCTTTTATTAAAACTATATATGTTGCCAGTTAACCGAATTGGGCCGAGTGGTTTACTTGGACCGGACCCATGAAAAAGTAACAAGTCGGCGTTATAAGTGCACATCCCACATCGTTTAGTGGGAGAGATACTTCCTTGAAACTTGTCTATAAATTAAGGCCCCTGTTTCTTTCTCTTGATATATTAACTGGGCTTTTAAAGCCATGGCCCATTATGTGTATGAGGCCTTTGGAATTTAAATGAATTCCATCATAAGTCGGCCGATTCGGTCGCCCACTGAATGGGTTAGGCCCAAGTTTTGTTTTTTCATTGGTTTTTTCGAGTCTTTTTGTAAAAATTGTATTCCACGTTTTGTATTTCTTTTCAAATGTTTTTGTTTTTACACCTTTTTTTTTCTAATGTTTTGTTTTGGTTTTGATAAGTGTTAAAATTTTAAATTTTGTGTAAACTAATTAGATACAACATCCAAACCCCTAAGAGGTGTTCTAGGTTTAATATAGTTTACACATAATAAATTTTTTAACACTTGTTTTTTTTTAGTTTTTTTTTTAAGTGTTAAAATTTTAAATTTTGTGTAAACTAATTAGATACAACATCCAAACCCCTAAGAGGTGTTCTAGGTTTAATATAGTTTACACATAATTAAATTTTTTAACACTTGTTTTTTTTTAAAAAAATGTTTTTTTTTAGTTTTTTTTTTAAGTGTTAAAATTTTAAATTTTGTGTAAACTAATTAGATACAACATCCAAACCCCTAAGAGGTGTTCTAGGTTTAATATAGTTTACACATAATTAAATTTTTTAACACTTGTTTTTTTTTAAAAAAATGTTTTTTTTTAGTTTTTTTTTTAAGTGTTAAAATTTTAAATTTTGTGTAAACTAATTAGATACAACATCCAAACCCCTAAGAGGTGTTCTAGGTTTAATATAGTTTACACATAATTAAATTTTTTAACACTTGTCTTTTTTAAAAATGTTTTGTTTTTTTTTTCATTTTTGATAAGTGTTAAATTTTAAAATTTTGTGTAAACTAATTGGATACATCATCCAAACCCCTAAGAAGTGTTCTAGGTTCAATATAGTTTACACATAATTAAATTTTTAATTTTTAATACTTGTCTTTTTTTTAAAATGTTTTTTTTAAAATGTTTTTTTCATATCCTTGCTTAGGAATCTTTTATTATAACTACATATGTTGCCAGTAATGGACTGTGCACATCCCACATCGTTTAGTGGGAGAGATAGTTCTTTGAAACTTGTCCTATAAATTAGTGCACCTGCTTCTTTAATTTGATATCAATTGGATTTTGAGCTACGGCCCATTTTTTGATATGAGCCCTTTCGGATTTAAATGAATTCCAACATAAGTCGGCCCATTCGGCCGCCCATATAATGGGGTTAGGCCCTAGTTTTTTTTTCTCATTGGTTTTTTCGAGCCTTTTTGTAAAAATTGTTTTCCACGTTTTGTGTTTCTTTTCAAATGTTTTTGTTTTTAACACTTATATTTTTTTAAATGTTTTGTTTTTTTGATTAGTGTTAAATTTTTAAATTTGTGTAAACTAATTGGATACATCATCCAAACTCCTAAGAGGTGTTCTAGGTTCAATATAGTTTACACATAATTAAATTTTTAACACTTGTCTTTTTTAAAAATGTTTTGTTTTTTTTTTCATTTTTGATAAGTGTTAAATTTTAAAATTTTGTGTAAACTAATTGGATACATCATCCAAACCCCTAAGAAGTGTTCTAGGTTCAATATAGTTTACACATAATTAAATTTTTAATTTTTAATACTTGTCTTTTTTTTAAAATGTTTTTTTTCTTTTTTGATAAGTGTTAAATTTTAAAATTTTGTGTAAACTAATTGGATACAACGTCCAAACTCCTAAGAGGTGTTCTAGGTTAAATATAAGTTTACACATAATTAAATTTTTAACACTTGTTTTTTTTAAAAAAATGTTTTCTTTTTTTTTCTTTTTTGGTAAGTGTTAAATTTTTAAATTTTGTGTAACCTAATTGGATACATCATCCAAACCACTAAGAGGTGTTCTAGGTTCAATATAGTTTACACATAATTAAATTTTTACTACTTGTTCTTTTTTTTTAATGTTTTGCTTGTTTTCTTTTTTTTGATAAGTGTTAAATTTTATGTAAATTAATTGGATACAACATCCAAACTCCTAAGACGTGTTCTACGTTCAATATGATTTACACATAATTAAATTTTTAACATTTGTTTTTTTTTATTGTTTTGTTTGTTTTTATGATAAATAAAAAATTTTAATTTTATATAAAACTAATTGAACACAACATCTAAACACCTAAAAGATGTTATAGGTGGTTTACACATAATATCTCTGCTCCTTCGTGTTTTTTATTTATTTTCTGAGTTTCAAAAACTCTTTACACCAGATTTTTAATTTTTAATGGAAGGCGAGTTCAATTTGACAGGTGTCAATATATGATTAGTTGACTTTACCTGAAAATTAAAACATCCCACTTTTATTTCGAGACTTTCCCTCTTTCCATGAAAATAGACTGCATTAGTTTTTTTTTTTTGAACAAAAGATTGGATTAGTTTTGAATCAATAATTTGGCATTTAGTCTATGAAATTGTAAATGTTAACCATTGTCAAATAGATAGTTTGAAATTAACCTTTTTTTTACCGCTGGTTCTATTATCGATAGTGACTACACTCAGAACTCAAACTCTGGTATATCTTACCTTGAATAAAGCTATAGTCAGAATCCATAAATGTTTTAGTGCAATACTAGTTGATATAATTCCATGTACGTGTTATTCCCAAGTACAATTCAATGCAATTACTGATAGGTTGAGAGATCTAAAGCATGATCGTTCATAGAAGCAGGGAATATAAAAACTTTTGGTACTTGTAGTATATACATAACTTTGTCCACAGTCTCTGGCTCTTTTTTTCTTCCGTACAAATATCATAGATCAATCAAGTAACCTTGAGAGAGCCTAGCATAGGAGCCTAAGCAAATTTGATGGTTTAAACAGTTTTGTAGAGCTGTGATCATGTGGGTGCATGAACTTGCAGTTAGGACAAACAGGAGTTGATGTGCACAACATAACCAACATGTGGCATTTCATGCAAACCGTTGTTACCATCTCTTGTCCCTTGTGATCAACATCATCATCACCACCACCTTCAAACGCTAGCCAGGACGGAGATCGACTTATCCTCTTCTTACTTGGGTTCGTCAACTCTTTACCCTTTGATGTTACTGTTTCATTGTGGTTTGAGGAGTATTCATCTTTCTTGATCGTTGCGGTTCGTGAAGGTGAACCTGAAGGTGAAAGGTTCAGCTCGAGGTCTAGGCTCATCTTAGGTTGTCCAACAATCACTGGATCTTTGGTGTATGCCCTATGATCATCAGATGTTCTTGAATATCCCTGAAAATACAAGTATCCATGTTTTAGATGCATGTTTATGCACATATCATAACGCCTATATATTATAATATTGATACAAATACAAGATACAACTTCAATACATATATGAATATATACCTTAGTTTGCCAATCTGATGGTAGAGGGGTGTGGAGATGAAGTTCAAAATCAAAGGTAATTGATCTCATACTCTCTGAGTTTGGTCGTTCATTGAACAGAGTGCTCTGTGATTGATCTTCTTGTTTGATCTTCTTGAATGAATTGTGAAACTCTTCTCCATAGACTGTAAAATCCCTCTTTCTAGAGTAGAGGGTTCCTTCTTGTCGAGAAACCATTAGCCTTAGTCTTGGTTTCCACTGAGTGGTTTCTTAAGATTTAAAGAAAAATTTGAACTCTCTATTTGATATACTGTGAAGGAAATGAGCAGATAGACTTAAAGAGAGTCGTGAAGATCATCACTATATATATACATGTAGGAAAACCTCCAGGGGAGTTATTGTCTCTACCGGTTCATATGGAGTAATTGAATTAGAGACCATTATAATATTTAAAAATTGGTTGATAAATTATAGATAATTGAGACTATAGCATTTTAATTTGGATATTTTAAAATTTATGGAGGAATAAAATAATCAAAAAAGAGAGAGGGAAGTAATGTGAAACATGATGTGTGAGTTCCAAGTTGGGTGTGTTCAATAACTCCAAACAGTCTCATTTAAATGCTTAGATGTGAAGTTCTAACCAACTTCTCTTTCTGTTTTCGCTTTCCCCCTCTACCATCATCTTCATCATCACAATATCGTCATCAAGACCTATGATGCATGTAAATCTTTGTTACGATGCATGTAGGTTGTTCATATATACTCTTATAAATTGCCTTGTTTTGTTTTACATACAATTGGGGATATATCTCAGGCCGAAACTCAGACTAATCCCCAGAGTAAGTAGAGCACCGGATGTTCTTGCCACTTAAGACATCGGAATGGTTTTGGTGAAATCATATATATGGATGGATAGATGTATGTATGTATATGTGTATGTGTCATGATTGATGATGATAAAGATGGAGGAGGAAGTGAGAGAAGAAGAGTTGGGAAATAGAGAGGTGATCAATAAATGGAGAAAACAATAAAGAGAATTAAAGATGGGAGAAGGGAAGGTTGATGAATTGATGAATGCCAATGCAACTTTAATACATCACATTAACTCCTCCTACTCCCATTTTTGGTTATATAACACAAATATACACATTACTAACCAACCTCCTTCCACAAACTTTATTACTCCCTCCGTTTCGTTTTAGTTGTCGTTTAAAGTTTTTTCACACAAATTAAGAAAAATATTAAATTTTATGTTTTACCCTTTATTAATGTATTTTATAAAAAATTTCATTGGCCAAAACATTAAAACAGTAGGGATAAAACTGGAATTTTCACCAAACATTTGCATTGAAAACCTAAAATGACAACTATTATGAAACAAAATTTAGATCCTAAAACGACAACTAAACTGAAACGGAAGGAGTATAAACCTTTGGCTAAGATATTCGATACGAAAAGAAATTTCAAATAGTTAAAGCCTTTCAACGGCCTCCTATCTCATGTCATGTCATGAGACTAGAGCTTCGTATCCTCGTTTATATTTCCGACGACTCTTTTGGCTATTTTCCTCATAAATTCCCAACCTTTCATGTTATATTACTACTGCGCGCGTTTTGTGTAAAATGAAAAGTGGCCATTTATGGTTTACTTTGCCAATAGAAATATCTTTGTGATTCACTTGACGATTAACGACGATTGGGGAAAAGAAAAAATGATGATTGGGGAATATTGAATTTTGGTCTAGTGATTATTTCGATAAATTGTCTGTCTAGCTAGTGATGTTAAAGAACAACGACAATTACAAAGCCGTGACACTGAGAGAGAAGGATGTATCATGTATGAAATGTTTTTTTTTTTTCTTTTCTATTTTAGTCAGAAGTCACTGCTTCAGCTATGTCTCGTATGTCGTATTACTATTAGTTAAGGTGATCATGCATGTGTTAACTAATATGCATTTCAAATTAAGAACCAAAACGTATATATAAATCATATTTTTCGTTTAGGGGTTGGTAGTTTGATTGTGTTTAATTATGTCTTTTTCTCTCAATATAAACATAACACTTTAATATGTTTTTAGACATCATATATTCATATGATATTCTATTTTCAGTGCATTTAAAAAACAAAACTCCAATAAAACAACGAATTTCATTCTTGTTTTGCGTTTGTAATTACAAGAGAAATGTTTGATTTAAAAACTGCAGATATTGGAGTATCAGTACTGTACTACGTCCAAACACAAGTATTTGTGCTTGTATAAATCGGTCCTTAGCCTTTAAACTCATTCATAAATAGAACCTAATTGTCATGCAGACAAATGTAAAGTATTCTTAAAAAAAAAAAACTGAAAATAACATAAGTATATACTTCCTCCGTCCCACAAAGATGAATTTTTTAGAAAAAAAAATTTGTCCCATAAAGATAGAAGTTTTGGGGTGTTATTGGTTTATTAATTTGAAATCCATATAGGATTTGGAAATCTCTATTAATTATGAAATCAAGATATATGGATTTTGAAATAACATGTGTTTACCCATGGATTTGAATCCTTCTATTTTTCTCTTTCAATTCCATACAAATCCATTTAAAACATAATTTGGATTCTCAAATCCAAAAACAAATGACTAAATGAATAACATGGGATTTTAACTAGTATTTATAAATCATATAACCAATAACACATGATTTTAATTAGGATTTTAAAATCAATGATTGAATAACAAATGATTTTTGTTTGGTAAAAATCCATCAACCACTAATCCCCCTTTGTGTTTCCAATGTCAAATTTAAAACAGTTTACCTATTTTACCTTTATTAAACAGCAATAAATAATATACTCTTTAAAATATAGTATTAAAATGTTAAAAGGTTAAAATTGTCATTATACATTATTTCTTAAAAAATGTGAAATTTCTAAAAAAATTATCTTTGTGGAACGGAGGGAATATTAAAATAAAAATAAATAAAAACAAGCTTTTAAAACTCCTAACATCCGCTCCTCCATGCATGCATATATAATAATGAGAAATTGTTAAAAATACCCCTTTTTCAATACCCCTTTTCAAAAATGCCCCCTTTGAGAGTCCATTTTTAAGTTTGCCCTCTTTTAATTTTTAATGACCATTTTACCCTTATTTGAAACAAAATTAGGTCCACAAAATATAAAATATTTTTTGGCGGGAAAAGTGATCCCGCAATTTTCCCGCCAAAACACTTGTAAAAACCTTTAAAAAACCTTGTAAAATTTTCCCATAAAAATTTTCCCGCCAAAAAATTTTCCCGCCAAAAAAATTTTTTTGCGGGAAAAGTGATTCCGCAATTTTTTTTGCGAAATTTTTTTGGCGGGAAAATTTTTGGCGGGAAAAATTTACAAGGTATTTTAAAGGTTTTTTACAAGGTATTTACAAGTGTTTTGTAAGGTTTTATAATGTATTTTAAAAGGTTTTACAAGGTACTTTTAAGGTTTTATAAGGTATTTATAACTTGTAAAACCTTATAAAAAACTTGTAAAACCTTATAACTTGTAAAAACCTTATAAAAAAGCTTGTAAAATCTTATAATATCTTATAAATACCTTGTAAATACGTTGTAAAACCTTATAAATACCTTGTAAAAAACCTTTAAAACACCTTGTAAATTTTTGGCGGGAAAAATTTTCCCGCCAAAAATTTAACGCCAAAAAAATTGCGGAATTACTTTTCCCGCAAAAAAAATTTTTTGGCGGGAAAATTTTTTGGCGGGAAAAAATTTTACGGGAAAATTTTACAAGGTATTTTAAAGGTTTTACAAATTTTTACAAGTGTTTTGGCGGGAAAAATTGGGGGATCACTTTTCCCGCCAAAAAAATATTTTGTATTTTGTGGACCTAATTTTGTTATATTTCCTTATATATTTATAATATCTTTTATTAAAAGAAGGGTAATTTAGTCATTTTGTACATAAAAGGGGTATTTTTAAAAATGGACATCCAAAAGGGGCATTTTTGAAAAGGGGTATTGAAAAAGGGGCATTTTTGTGAGTCTCCCTATAATAAATTTAAAGATTCATGTCTCTTCTTTTTTTTTGTCAACTTCTCTCCAATTTATTTAAAGCTAGCTCAGCTTGTACTATATATACTTTTAATTTTCATAAATTGAAGAAATAAGAAAACATGTGTTTGAAAGCTACGGCGAATCATAAATAACATAAATTAAATTGAAGGTTAGATGGAGAATCATATTTCTGAGTCCCTCAGTGAATATAGTTATTTTTCTGAAATAAATTAGTTGTAATTTCCTGGTGGAAGAATTAAATATTTGGTACTTGTCTACCCGTTTCCATTGAATAATTATGAAACTGTTATAAATGCAAAATTCAATTATATGCGTTGCATATATCTACTTGTCAATAGAACTTAAATTTTATCACACATATGGGAAAAAGTATCTAGCGAATCATCTAAATTACAAATGTGTAAAGCCAAAATTTTTACAACATATTCCCTCCGTATTAGAAAGATTGAATTTCTAAGGTTTTATTCTTGTATCAAAAAGATTGATTTTCTGTAAACTTTTATCAATTAATATCAATAAATTGTGAATTTCAAGAATCATTAATTGAGAATTTCAAACTTTGATGAATTACTATGGGTTAATAGCTATGAAAAAAAGTTTGATCTCAATAAATAGTGCATTTATAACTAACTATTAAATGTTTTTCTTAATTGTTGTGAAAAGTCTATAACATCAATCTTTTAAATACGGAGGGAGTATCTTAGTTTTAGGAAATTTCCATATGTATAATATTTACTTTTTGTAACTAACTCCTAATGTTTTCGTTTGTGCGGATGGTTGATGGTTCCATCATCCATGCAATTCAATGTCACGGTATATTCACGTGCACAAGGATGAAAGCCAATGCTTCTGACTTCTGAGTTTTGACCCTTTGTGCTATTTTAAGTCGTCTCAACATTTTTAGTGTTAGGAATCGGCTTCTGTTATTAAAAAGTCAACAACATAAGCCGAGTTTGATTGAAGTTTATAAGAGTAAACAATTTTGTTGGAAACAAAATGCATGTGACGATGAACATTAAATAATAGGGTATATGTTCCTATTAATTACGGTCGATTTGCCCAAGAATTAGGTTTGAGAAGGTGTGTTGATCAAGTGAAATAAATGCATTACCCATAAATTATGTCAAATAAACTTTAAATGCAATAGAAATATGTTCAAGTTTTGAATTGTCTGCCGGAAAAACATAGATATCTATAAATATTTAATTCTATAGCTATTTTTGCTTATCCTTATCGTCGTTTTTTTTCTTCAAAAAATCAAAATCCTTATCATCTATTTATAACTTATTTGATCAAAACATAAAGGGTTCATAAATGACATATTATAAATAACATATATTTAAGTTCGTGTAATTTATATATAGTGCTACACCATTTTATTAGACTATAAAGTATAAACTATATGTGCCGTGATTTAAAAATAGGAATTGATAAATTTGGTACAAAGAATATACAATAACGTAAAATATATACAAACTTAACCAGATAAGTTATCTGTAGACTTAATTTTGCATTGTTTTAGTTCGAGGGAAATTAACAAATTAAGGAATTTAATTGGGTTTGTTTAACTTTTATTTTGAAAAAGGTGTATCAATATTACACACCTGATCGTACATCATTTAACGCTTTACTATAAAGTTTTGTTTAGATATTATTATTACGATGATAGACTGATAGTTTTGTGAATGATAGGGATTGGAGAGCTTTTTGTTCGTTGGGATCGGAGAGTTAAAAGATTGAAAATGGGCTAAAAGCCTAAAACCTATTTCAACGGCTTCTTTGAAAATAAAACCCTTAATAATACGTCTCCATCTTTACAAGTTGCTAATTAATGTAACCATAACATTAATTGGACAATTTTTCTATAATGCCTTGAAGAAAACATCCAACTGATTGCCAAAGGCTGAAAAGTGAAAACTAATGGGCTTGATTGATCAGATTAAAACAAAAACAAAGCCCATAAAAATCTTGGAGCAGTAAAATCTTTTGTCTCAGTAAGAAATAAGAAGACTTTTATTTGAAGACAAAACCGGGTTAGAAACCCGATTTTTTACAACAGAAAATACCATTCCCAAAACCGAAAATTAGCTGAGACGACAAAAAAAAACAACAACAAAAGAAACAACAGAACAATACAGAAGAAACAAACACTAAGCTCTTCGTCTCTGGAGCTATAGACCATTGTCCAGAGAAATTATTCATAAGAACATAAGAAAACACAGAATAATCTTTGGAAGGAGAAAAAGAAACACAACAACATCAAAATTACAGACTCAGCGAATCATCATTCATCATCATCCTTCACTTCTTCAGTAGATTCCTCGAAAAAATCCTCTTGCAATAAGGATTATTACGTAGAATCGAATGTGGCCTTATGACTTCCACAAGTGAAGCATGAATTGGACCCTGTTACAAATTTCATAAACCGATATATAAACCGAACCGGAAACCGGATTGGAGGGTAATTTATATAACTTGTAAGTAAAGTTAGTACCTTTGTGGCGGCAAGAGCGGCTTGGATGACAAAATTTGCGTAAGGGTCTTGAAGAAGCTGATCAAAGTGAGGAACAGAGATGAGCTCACGCACAATTTGTGGACGACTCTCGGGACAATGCATCAAACATCTTTCGACCATGTGGCTACTGAATTTCTGCATTGAAAGCTGAACGTAATGCCCTTTTAACTGAGCCAGCATCATCGCCACCGCAGAAGGAATCCTCAGTTCTATAACGAATTGGACTGCGTAGTTCCTGCAAAATTTTGATCATCCAAAAAAAGATTTTTTTTTAGAATATTCTTCCAAATAAAAGTTTGTTTTGTTCAAGCACTTTACCCAAAGGGGTCTTGAGCAAGGAGGAGGCTGTTTCTAGAGATTTCAGCTATCAGCTTCTCTCGTTGTTGTCTCATTGAGTAAGCAATGCATTTTTGAAGCACACAACATCCATGTCTATGTGTTGCGATTTCAGTGCAGAACTTTGTCGCCGCATCAAAGATAAACTGTTAAAAAAAACAGAACAAAATTTAGCTCAATATGATTTGATGATCAAGAGAGTTAAAGAGACTGAAAGGAAGGGACTTTATTTGTTTGACCTTGTTATCTTCAGTGCTTAGGCATTGCAAGCAACGTTGAATCACATGGTTGCCATTTAAATCTTTGATCAAATCAAGAAAACCGGGTCTCAATGCCGATTTCACCAGAGAAATCTGTTTTCCGGTTCTGATTGTTTCCACTAATCTTTGGACAACCCGAGTACTACAAAAAAAATATAATCAAAACATGTTTTTAAGCATATGATATCAAACAACCAATAGAAAAAAAACAGAATGATCTCTTAGAATGTAATTGTTTACCCGTATGCATTGAGAGATATCCGGATAAGTTGACCAGGCTCCGCGGTTGCCACGAGCACGATTTGCGTCCTCTGTTCTTCAGTACAAACATCTAAGAGTTTCTGCATCAGGTAATTCCCAAAAGGATCCATCATAAGCTCAACGACATGAGCAATAACTTCATTGAATATGATCATTGCGTCAGCGGAAGTTCCTTCATCGAAAATCCTCTGCAAGAATCGACATCCGTGTTGATCTTTAGCCATTAAGTATACATATCCTTGAATGTCACACATGTTAGGCAGACTCGGATGACATATCTCTGTAGTACTCCCATGATCAGACATCACTGCTCGAGTACTGCTTCTCTGATGATCCAAGCTTTTCCCATTCATGAAGAAACTATCATCAGCGCTAAATGGCTCAGACCATTTTGAAACCATAGGAGCTTGAGTTCCTTGGCAGAAAAATGGTAAGATGTCTGATGTTGTTGTTCTGTAACTTTGATGATTATACGAAATATCGGGTTGTTGTTGTGGCGGCGAGTAAGCTGAATACTCTCTCATTCCAACTCGATTTCCGAAAATCTCCTGACCATTGTTGTAAGGACTAGTGCCACCATTACTGCTTGAGTAGCTAGGCCATCCAATTTGTTGAGAATTGGCTATGAAATCTTGAACTTGAGGATTATTCCCAAACATGTTTCTCTTGTCGACATTTTTGCTTTGATCGAATCCAGACCACGAGTCACATGGCTGGTTAACACTAGACTCTTTTGTTGGACGAAAGAATCCACATGGAAAGCCTCCAGACACAAATCCACCATTGTTAGATTCATAGTGTTTAGGTGAAAAGTTGTAGAGTGGATCAAGAGTGAAGTCGGTGTGATCAGACTTAGGAATCGAACCGTGAGTCTCAGTTCGTGCGTAACGTACTTGATCTTCTTCAACATCCTCCTTGATATTCATACGGTAGAGATCTTCACACAAACCTAAATCATCATCACCATTAACATGACTCTTTTCATGATCCTTGTGAAACAATAAATCATTATTATGGTTATGAAAAGAGACTGGTGAAGTGTGATTTAGCTTAGGAATGATCCCGCTAAACGGAGGAGAAGCGAACGGAGAAGAACTATCTTCAGGAGAACAGAATCCATTAGAGAAAGAACTTGATAAAGAATAATCAGATGAAGAGTTGAAAGAGAATCTGTTGCTAATGGAGAAATCTCCGTGAAAGAGGTTTGGAGAATGTAACGGTGTTCGTAGTGGAGTCGAAGGAGACGAAGAGACCGAAGAAGCTTCACGAAACTCATCCATCTTCATTATGGTATAAATCTTTCTAACAACAACAACACTGACACATAAGAAACATATATCTCAAAACGTAATCAAAAGATCTTACATCAAAAATTATTTACAGAAGAAGAAGAAGAAGAAAACAAAAACGATAGTAAAGTTGGCTAGATTTTTTTTTTTTCTTTTTTCTTGTTTTTTTGTGTGTTTTACCTTATAAAGGAGAAAACGTATATAATCGTCGTTTACGCCATTAAAAGGACAGTGAAAAGCTTCAAATTATCACACAGTGGTTAATCTAGAGAGATAGAGGGTAGATTCTCTCGTTTATCTTAGGATATGATTTTCTTTTTTCTCTAACGGTTTTGGCTTTTAAGGAAATGATTAATGTTCAAAGAAATAATTAAGACGACGCATAATTCTGCTTGATTTTCTATAATCATTTTCTATTTTTTACAGATTTTGATGTAAGACTGAATCAACCTTATAAATTAAGACTAAATCCTCTTTACAAAATATCTTTTTTGAATGAGTAAACCTTTCTAAATTAGATTTTGTAATAAAATCTTTAATTAAGCAATTAACATTTCCACATAATACGTGATATGTATTCCTAAATAAAGAGTGTGGTAAAGATTATAATTACAAATTTAATGCATTCTAATTGTAAATTTCAATATTAAAAGTGATAGTATCTTTTTAGTAGTAGATGTATAAATCCTACAGAAATATTTCTAGTTTTATTTTATTTTTCTTGTGGTATAAAATCTTAAAGAGTGAAAATGTTTAGACTTGGATAATATTACAACATATTTTTTGCCCACCAAAAAAATATTACAACATATTTTTTTATTAATAACAAAAAAAAAGAAAATCAGAATTATATACAAAAGGCAATAGCTAAGTCACAGTGATTTGGTCTTCATAATCACAAATTGTGGAAGTTAACGAAGAGGTCCATCACATCTATTCTCTATTCTTTAGACCTAAAGCATCTTCCTTTTTTCATGGTGGCAAAATGCATCAAACTCTTCTCTAAATTTTTCCAACAAAATGAATTTAAGTTTTAACTTTTCATCATCGCAATATCAATAGTAAGACGTACTCATAACTTTTGTGTCATGCCAACTTAATTTTGTGATATAAAATTAGGCTCCTTTTGGCTAGAAACGATTACATATCAAATTACTTTGGTTCCCCAGTTTGGCAAGTCCCGGAAAATAAAAACAATAACTCCTCAGCCAAGTAACACCCTCTGTCCCGTAGTAATGCTATTACAGGACTAACATTAGAAAGCCCTAACGGCTGAAAAACACAACTGAAATAATAATATTAATAACAACCATAACTAAGAAAACTGCATAATACAAATCGCACTTTGAGCTGAAGTGTATGGGAAACCACAAGAACACACACCGATCAATAGCGGTTTAAAAAGAGTTAAGTTGTTACCGAAAAAAAGGGTTTTAAACAAGGGCGATGCTTGTCTCACCACCTGGTGGTTTACGGACACCGCCTAGATAGTCTCTTGCCTCTACTTTCCCATCTGCAAATATGTTGTTTCCTCCTATCTCCTTTAGCTTCGCTTGACTCAGATGCTTTTCAACAGAAGATGATGCCGCATCGCCCTTGAATATGTCGTTCCCTGAAAGTTCTGCAAATTTCTTGTCATAAATCTTCTTTGCTGTCTTCACAGATGACTCTTCTCCAGCAGACTGCAGAATAGTGTTTCTCGGATTAGACAATATACAGCAATGAGTGGTTAGAGATGTCAAGGAACACATTGGAAAGGTCTTACTTGAGATTCAGCTCCGAGGTTGAAATTGTCCTTAAGAGCCAATGCACGATTTGTTCCAGATCTAGGTTTGATCTCAGGCGGTGGTGCAAAGATGTTCTGTCCACTGATCTCTTTATACTTAGCATCAGAGAGCTGCTTCTTCAGCTTATTAGCTGAATCATTCTCCATAGTCCCACTGAGCTCTCGCTGTTTGGCGACTTCAGGTACAGTAGCTGGCTTTTTAGGAGATAGATCTTCCTCCTCACCAAATGATATCTGGCTTATACCACTAAGTGCTTGCTGAAAGGTAATCAAGAGTTTCAGTAATATGACTAAATAACATTACAAAACAATTCTCACTCTCTACATATGATGAATGTTACAAAAACTGGTACCTGATAAACCGGTAATGGCTCTGATGCATCATCTTCTTCGTTACGAGAAAAGATCCCACTGCCAGTTATCTCCTTCATTTTATGTTCTGAGCAAGGTTTCCTAATGACAGCATTATAAACATTTCCACAAGTTTTTTTACATCAGGATATATGACCAACTCCACATAAACACCATAAAGGTGTCAAATGCATCATCAAGAATCCTTAAAAACAAGGCACTTTTGAATTTTTTTCTCTATGATCTAATATTGGATGGCCTATTCTCCACTGAACAATGGCAAAAACAGAGTATTATCAATTCACCAAAAGGTTTCAACTTTCAGATATATGCCTATTGGTTTGAGGTAACCGAACATATTCAATGGACAAAATAGGAAACTAATTTTCAAAGAAATGAAATAGCGATCGAAGAAGTAAGTGTCACCTTCGATTCAAGCTCTCAACTTCTTCATCGGTCACTTGACCTCCAAACACCACTTTACTAATCCCATCCGATGGCTACAACACATTAAACCAAAAGCAAGATTGAAACAAAGATTACCAGTACATTGTTCAAATCAAAAGTGAAATTTCTTGATGTTGTACGTACCTGGTGGGAACGAACGGCGGAGCGAGAAGCGGATGAAGGAGAATCCGGCGGTGGAACCTCCGACCAAGTAAGTAGATCTGCGGTGGATGTGTGCGGCTTTCTCACCGGCGTACTTCTCTCCATAGTCTGTCTCTCTCTCACTAGCAGCAAGTAAACAAATCGAAGAGGATGAGAAAATTACAGAGACTACCCTCTCTTTTCAGCTTCTTCAATCCCCACTGGTCTAAGATTAATCGATTGTGTTAATTGACGCTTTTACCCTTTACTTTCTTCATTAATCTCACTTGATCTGGATGCTTCTTCTCTACGCTGCCACGTGTAATTAACAAGTGGTCATGATCATTAAATTCAAAATCATCCGTATTTTCTAATCAGAAAATTGTTGTGATTAGTATAATTTGTTTGGGTTTAACAGAAATATTCAAATACTTTTCTTAGCGTATGGGATTGGGATTAGTATTTTAGAATGTAAAAAAGAAGGAATTGTTTTAAGGAAAAAATAATTGAAGCGCATTAGATAGAATTATGGTCAATCATATTCTTCTCTTTTTTTTTTTCTGACACAAGACCATGTGAAGCCATCAAAACTAATAAAGACTTTTACCAACGTTTTTTTTATGTAGTGTGAGCACGTGATGCCCATCTTTTATTAGCATTTTATTTGTACCACACAATACAAAAGTGTAATTAATTCAAATAGCCTGAGATTTTATTGCCTTTGTAACTAAAAACTTAATTAGTATCCGCAATTTTTAATCCTGATTCTTCGTAACCAAAACTAAATTAGTAAAATTCAATTTTTACACGGATTCTTAAAAAATATGCATCCAAATAAAATGTGAAATATAAGATAAAAATTTCAGATAGAACAAAGGATAAAAAATTCACGTATAAATGTAATACACAGAAAATTTAATTCATTAGTTAATCTAGATTCTAGATCAAAAACATGTAATCTACTAAGCCCAAAACCTTAAGAGATCCAAACCAATTCTATTAAAACAAAACTGGGCTTTATTTGAGGATCCGATTTATCATTGAAGACCATAAAGGCTTGTCTTTACCAATAATAATTTAAAGTTTGTTTTCCACGCATTTTGTGTGATTTCTTTGCTCTTTATTAAAAAGCTTCGTGCTCTATCGACAGCCACGGAGGCCTGAAAATACCGATGACGGTTGTTTCCGGTCGATTCTCAACGGCGTTTCTCCCTACTTGTTTTTCCTTATCGCGGTTGCATTCCGTCAGCTACGCCGCTCAAAGATGTGTTGTTTTTGTTTCCAGATCAGCTCACGCCTCATCAGCCTCCGTCTCCGTCGAGACGAATTCGAATGTACGCGCCTGCCAGTTGTTTCTAGGAACAGATTCGACTTGTCCTGTTATCAAGCACTGAATCAGAATTAGACTTTTTTTTTTTTTTTTTTGTATGAATTTTATTGTAGTTTTATGTTCAGAGTGAGTGGTTTTTGTTTGATGATCTCCATTTTCACAGGATTCAGTTTGATTTTGTGCAGGTGGGCTCTGTTATCGAGAAGGAGAAGACTAGAGGAGAGAAGAAGGTTCTAGCTTGTCCCATCTGTTATAACTCCTTAGCATGGATTAGTCAACCTAATGGATTAATGTGAGTCTCACTGTTATAGTTGGATTCAGAGAATAAGTGAATGTTCAATTTTCTTGAGAGGCAAGTTATATAACGTTTTGTATTGTATTTTTTTGGGTACAGAGAATCTGCTACCTCTGGTACTCAATTACAATGCAATACCTGTAAAAGGAGTTACTCGGGTAATGAGACGCATCTTGATTTGGCTGTGGCTAGTGGAAGCAAGACATATAGTGAACCAATGCCTCTTTCCACTGAGTTATTCAGGTACATGATATGCTTTAGTAGGTTCCTTGTCAATGTTTCCACTGAGATTTTTTGGAATTCTTGTTTTTATAGGACTCCATTAGTCTCGTTCCTTTATGAGAGGGGTTGGCGTCAGAATTTCATATGGGGAGGTTTTCCAGGACCAGAGAAAGAGGTGAGACGAAACCACTCTCTCGTTCTTCAAAGGCCTCTTATTTATAAGGAAATGCCTCGAATAGCTTCTTGTTTGTCCCATATAGTATATTTCACATAACATAATGAAGCTTACATTGGTTAAAATATGTTCTTCATCTAGGCAATGCATGGGAAGATAGATATGAACACTGATAAAGTTGTATTCCACAGTTTGAAATGGCTAAAGACTACCTGAAGCCTGTTTTGGGAGGCAATATCATTGATGCTAGTTGTGGAAGTGGGATGTTCTCGAGGTTATTCGCTAGAAGTGAGTTGTTTTCTCTGGTTATTGCCCTTGATTACTCAGAGAATATGCTGCGACAGTGCTATGAACTCTTAAATCAAGAAGAAAACTTTCCCAACAGAGAGTTTGTACTTTCACCCTTTAGCTTGCATTATTGTCCTAAGATCTTGGGTTACCAGATGTGTTATTTTTACTCTGCTGTCCCATTTCCAGGAAACTTGTTCTAGTCCGAGCAGACATTGCTAGACTCCCTTTCCTTTCGGGTTCAGTTGACGCTGTCCATGCTGGTGCTGCTCTGCATTGCTGGCCTTCACCATCCTCAGCCGTAGAACTTTTCTCCTAATTCAACATTTTATGAAAACCACACATTCAACGATACATTATGTGTTAATGTTCCCTTGGATCTTCTAGGTTGCTGAGATAAGCCGTGTTCTTAGACCTGGAGGAGTATTTGTGGCCACCACATTTATCTATGACGGTCCATTCAGTTTTATCCCCTTTTTGAAGAATCTTCGTCAGGTTTGTGTATATGTTACTTCTAAGCCTTAAAAACTTTCAATTGATGTCTTGCATTTTCTTCTCTTTTGCCCCTGGTGTGGTCTGTGGCTGATCATGCATTCTGGTCATGCAAATGATAGGAATTAATGAGATATTCAGGTTCTCACATGTTCCTGAATGAACGTGAGCTTGAAGATCTCTGCAAAGCCTGTGGACTCGTTGGCTTCACTCGTGTTAGAAACGGGCCATTTATAATGCTATCCGCCACAAAACCCAGCTAAGCTCACCCTCTTGAAATTATATACTCCTCTGTAAAACTTTGTTATAAAGTTATAAACACTATAACAAACAACTCGAAAGTGCATACAGTGTACCTATTTTGTAAAGCTTTTTGCAAACTTTCCTATCATCTATGTTGTAAATTGGTTTTAACTTTTAACATGGTTTGCAAAAATGTCTTCTTGTGAAACCTCAATGTCTCTGTTGGAACTTCCCGGAAGCAGTTCACGCATCTCAGAATCTATAAAAGCTTCCATCCGAGCACGATCTCTGTCTAGAGGATAGGTACCGTAAAGAAAGGAGTAGATGAAGCAGCAAGCCGCCATTGGGATTCCTATAGATGTATAAAGAGCTTTTGCCAGAGATGCTGCATTCTCTCTATCTGTGGCTATCTCTGCTGATTTAGATGACCCTTCAGGAATTGGCTTATATCCATAAACATGTTGTGCTAGAATTCCAACTATAGGAGGAGCAAACGATGACAAGATCGACTCAAACGATTTGTCCAGTGCGTAGACGCTTGTTCTTGATTTCTCTGGAACAATCTCTGCAAAGATCGGGCTGCATTTGTTTCACCACGGTCAGCATCAACAGTGAAACGATAGAGTTACACATCATTAGGCATGGTAAAGAGAGAGACTTTACTTGTTGGTAGCAGGAGCATTCCAAGAAACAAAAAGCCCCAATAGGACTAAGATGAGACCATGCATTGCAGCTGTGGATGGATCATCTGGTAAGACCAACAAGAGAATTGCAGCGAGCGGGATGGCTGAGGCTGAACTGATCTGCGCGAGAATGATTCTTCCGGAATTAGGAAGACGAGTAGACAGAAAATCTCCCATTTTGCCTCCAAACAAGCCACCAAGAGAAGATGCAGCCACGAAAAGACCCATCAAGAATGCAGTTTTCCCGTGTGAGAACCCGATGAGTTCCAACCACATGGGTGCAAAAGAAAGAGCAGACCAAGGAAACGATCCTGTCACTCCCTGAGCTACAATGATCTGAAAAGACCGAATCTTTATGACAGTATCAGCTTCCCGGACCAAATCCTTCACCTCTGTACAAAAAGGTTTCCTCGAACCTCGTTGATTCGAAACATCAACACCATCCTTCACAAAATGTGGGTCATTGGCGAAAACTCTGACTAACACACCAACAATAACACTGATCACACCTACGATATGGAAAGCAACTCTCCAACCAGGTATGCCCATGAAGGTAAATGGAGCTATTAAAACAGAGCAAAGCCCGCCTAAAATCGAACCGATGTTTGCTGTTAATTGCAACCAACCAAAAGCAGTACCACGGTTAGCATCATCAGTTGAATCAGCAACAAGAGATTGAATAGCTGGAGCCACTAAGGCAAGACCAATTCCATTGAGAGCTCTAGACACAGCTACCTGCTCGATGATAAATGCCACAAGAGATTATGTATCTCACTAAACCCTAAACCATAAACCAAGAAAACCTTAATTGTGGAAAGAAAAGGACAAAACCTGGAAGAAAGTGGAAGAGAAAGCGACAAGGAAAGTAGCAGCGGACCAGAGAAATGCACCGAGAGCTATAACGTGAGCTCGGTTATGTCTAATGGCCATGTAAGCAGCTAAGGGATAGCAAGCGGCTTGAACCATGGATCGCAGCAACGTTAATGACCCGAGTCCGGTTGGATCGGTTTGGAGAGCTAAACCGACCTCTTTGTAAACACCTGGAAGCAGAGATTCATCGGCTCTTTCCATTATTCCGGCTAGATTCACCAGAATCAACGTCACCGTCTCCGCCTTCATCTTTCCCGATTAAAAACAACAAAAAAATATCTGATTTTTCTTCTTCTTTGAGTCTAATTCGTAACTGCAAAATAAATTTGGGATGTGAATCATCTATGTTGACGGTGGGGAGTGTCAGCCAATCACAGTACGTGGTCGCTGACGGTGGCGCGTGAGAATGGTCAAAGAAGGTGATGAAATTTCCCGTTGATCCCGAACTGGGCCCTATTAGTGTTTTCAACAGATTATGGGCTTAGGCCCATATTTTCATAAGTGTAAAAACCAATCTATTTTTCCTTTAAGCATAAGTAAATGTTTTGATTACAACTTTTAAGTTTCAAGTCTATAATTAATACTGGATTTATCACAAAAGTTAGCCG